AGTGCTCACAGCTCCAAACTGGGAAGAGGAAGCAGTGGGAACCAACGGCAACTGGCTGGCGATTGACCAGAGCACTCCTGTGAAAGGAAACGGCTAGTCCTGCTGGACCCTGTGTACTCCCACTTCCACCCCAACCCCAGAGGAAAGGAAGGCACTGATCCAGCAGGGAAAGCGAAGTACAGAAGTTGGCAAATGAAGAGTTTTCTAACATCTGAGAAACAGCCACCTGAAACAAAATCTCATCAGACTTACAACGCCTAGACAAAACCCACTTAACATTCATCAAAACGGGAAAATTAAGCATAATTAATTATCTTGAGTATTTTAAAATAAAGTTACATCTTTGATTCAGGAACAAGAAATTATGAAAGATACAAGTACAGATTTTGGACAAAAGCAGTTGAAATTAAAATTTTAATTAAGTAGAGTAGCCGAACAGACCCAGAACTAATGTGCAAGCTGGAGAAAAGAGGCCAAGGACAAAGTAACAGAGAAACAAAGGGGTTGCTGGAATTGCAACATTTGGGAAGCTGGGGCAGGAGGATCATAAGTTCAAGGCCAGCCTGGGCTACACAGTGAGACCCTGGCAAAAAGAGAAGGGAGAGGGAGAGAGGGAGAAAGAGAAAAAATTCAGAAACAACAACAACAAAAAAGAACAATAAGAGCATCAGGAAAGATCCAGACGTTCCAACATCAGCCCATTGAGGGCCTGGAAAAAAGAGAAGAGAAAATGGCAGGATAGTGGTATCTGAAGCCAGAAGGTAAAAGACCTCAAACCAAAGAAAAGTATTAAATCCTTTAAAGAGCTTGATGTGGCAGTTATACAAGACAGGGGATTGTGCCCTACAACATTCTATAAACAGTCAGAAGCCAGATCACAAGGATTTTGTATTTCTGATAAGGATTTTACACTAGACTATGAATATAAGTACTGGATTAGAGTTAGGGTACAATGGGAATCTCTTATTTAAAAATAGACATCATCTCTGGCTCTACCCATGGAAAGGCATGGGAGGCAATGGCACTGCAATGATGAGCACCCAGAGCACAGAGGGTTAAATGCTGCTCCCCAATGCAAAGAGCAAAGGAACTGCTAGAGCAAAGGTGGACGTCAGGGCTAGGCAAAGTCTATACTGGACTTAGAGGACTTAAAACTGACTGAAGTTAGCCTGAAGAGGCTGTCTGTGGTTAGACCCAGGATCCTGTATCAAAAGGAACAATCAGACAAACAAATCATAAAATGTTGATTTTAAGCCAGGTCTGGTGACACAGTCCTTTAATTCCAACACTTCAGGAGGCAGAGGCACGCAGATCTCTGTAAGATCCAGGTCACTCTAGTCTACATAGTGAGTTCCAAGCAAGCTGGGGCTACAGGGAGACCCTGTCTCAAAAATAAAAAAATAAAAATAAAAAAGGTGAATTTAAAATAAGTCCCCATAAATCATGGTTCTTAAAGAAAGGTGGAGGGCAGATAGAAGGGGAAGATGTTTATAGAAGAAAACCAAATAAAGCATAGACGGAATGAAAGATTGCAATTTTATAAGCATGTTGATCACACCTGAAGGAGTTATGCAAAATAACGGCCAAAATTCTTTAAAATGTGCACGTCATGTGCCTCCTGAAAAACAAAGTGACTGGGAAGCAATTCTGCACTAAAGACATTACAGAGACAGGTTAAGTAAATGAGTGTACTATTTACATCTTGAATTGGAAAAGCATAGTTATAAATCACACTTATTAGAATAAGTAGGAAAATATAAAAGTGGGTTATAGTTTAAGTAACAGTATTACAGATGACACATTTGAGTGATGATCATATTATGGGTAAGAAGTGAGTGGTCTTCTTAGACGATGAATGTTGAAGTAATCAGGAGTGGAAATTCTCCATGTTTATAATTTAGTCTCAAATAATTCAGAAAAAAAAGTGTGTGTGTGTGCATACAGGCATGCACAAGCTTATGATTTCTGGGATTCAATGTTCTATTCTTGCTAATTTCCTTAGCTTTGAATTGCAAAATAAAAGTTAATGAAGAATGAAGCTCCTAAAGAATTCAAAGCACTGAATGTGCTGATCTGACTTGTATTCTTGCATGATTATTTTGAATTTATTTCAGAAAGAGGCAAACTAAAACCAGGAGGCCAGAGGCCAATTCACCAGAAAGTGGATGAGCTTAGGCTTCAAGGTCCTTTGCAGTTTCTTTCCAAATCCTTGGGAGAAAACTGAACAATGTATTCTTTCACATGGTCACATGCTTTTGCAAAATTTGCAAAATAAGATATATATTTGGTTAAGAACACTGTCTCTTTCCACTCTGAGTTGATTTTCCTTGAATGAGGCTTCAGAGGAACCATGGGCATTTTCTAGATGCTACTCAGGATAGCTTAACCTTAGGTTGAGAAAGCTAAACTCCTGGTTTGTAGTACTTCCTGGTACAGGTATTTGTTAACTGTCCTGGTATGGGAATAACTTTCAGAAATGTACCGACCACCCAAAGCGTACACTTACTTGGCATGAGCAACTACAATGCTGAGTTGAAATATGAACACACCATGAACTCTAGTGCCTGAGGCCAGAAAGATGCTGAGAGTGAAGACATTAGCAGAAAAACTAATTATCACTCTCCTCTCTCTATGGGAAATATCATAATGTAATCCAAATGAAGATATGACCAAAGATTTTACAGCCCAAGAGACAAAAGAAATTTTAGAGAAGCGGCAGGCTATTAAATAGAAACATCTTTTAAATGTTTGTAGCAATGACTTTTTTTTCAGATTTGTAATTTGTGTTTTCTTTGCTCATTATAAATATTTACCTTTCTCTGAATAAATAAATATTTACCTTACCTGAAATTGTCCTTGTAAACAATGGCCTAAAGTTGAAGCCCTACAAAAATATGTAACTTAGCCTTTTAGGAAACCAAAAAGGCCACCATGAAAGATTAAACGAGGGGTTGGAGAGATGGCTCAGAGGTTAAGAACACTTACTGATCTTCTATAGGACCCAGGTTTGGATCCCAGCACCCACATCAGATGGCTCACAACTACCTCTAACTCCAGTTCCAGGGGATCAAATGCCCTCTTCTGACCTCACACATTGGTACACATAAATTCACACATATACACAAGTAAAAACGTTAATACATCTTTTTAAAAAGAGATCAAATGACAAAGATTTGAAAACCAATGGGGATGATGACAATAAAATGATTTTGAGAGTTATTTAATGTAAAAAATCAAACAAGTTTCTTAATTGACTGATATGGGTGTTAGGAGGGAAAGGTAGGTCTAGCAAGGTCTATTCGTGGGTCAACAGAGAGGTCATGCATCATTCATTCAGAGGGACTTCAGTAAGCAGAGGGCTACACTCATGGAGACACAGGTCAGGGCTACAGCTGCAGTCAATCACCATGTACACAGAGACGTGTGCAGAGGAAACCAGGCCCATCAATGAGTAAGTTCCTGATTTGGGTATAGCACAAGAAAATCAGAAGCTGAAAGACAGAACAACACGGCGGTACCAGAAGCTGAAAGACAGAACAACACGGTACCGATGGGAGGAGTTGGTGGGGGGAGGCACCAGAAGGAAAGACAGGGGATTAGAAAAACAAAGAAACAGCAGCTTTAGGAAACGGAGAGAAAGGTATCTCTGGATAATTTCCCAAGACAGAGCTGTTACTAAAGTGTATCAAATGTGGCAAACAAGAATGTAACTATAAACCTGAGAACCTGGTGCAATCATGAAAGTTGAGGTGAGGCTGTAGGAAGCCAGGCTAAGAAATACAGAGAATCGGAGGTCAAGGGTGGGGAAGCTTCTTTTATTTGTAACTACTAATGCTAAACATGTATCTGCCCTCTGATCCAGCAATCCACTCCTTAGGGAACAACCCAGGCTCCTCAAAAGGAGAATGAGACATAAAGTATGGCAGACAATGAAACAATATAAAGCAATAAAAAGAGTTAACTACAGGTAACTACTACCTACTGTGCAATTCCATTTGGATAAACTTCAAGAATAGGTAAATCTAATAAATGTCAGAAGTCAAAATAGCAGCTACCTTAAGGAGTGGCTTAACTGCCTGGCAAAGAGGCCCAAGAAAACCCCAAGGAGCACTGCAAATGTTCTATGCCTTTACCTGGGTGATGGTGGCATGGATGCACGCATAAACAAAAATGCATTAAGCTGTATACTAAGATTAGTAAATTTTATATTCCTTACTTTGCTAAACCTCAATAAACACTTCTTTAAAAAGAATAAAAATAATCTCAGCACCCACACGACAGCTAACAACTATCCGTAACTCCAGTCCCAGGGGATTGGACAGCCTCTTCTGACCTCCGCGGGCATTGCATGACATGGGTGCACTTACCTACAGGCAGGCAATACACACATACACATAAAATAAAAATGAATTAAAAAAATAATAAAGATAAAAATTTAAAGACTACTTTACTACAAAATTAGCACTAAGAAAATCTACACAATACTACCAAGGTAAAGTGAGTCCTGAGTTGGCCTGGAACAGCCTGAGCCAAAGGAACCCATCAACCATGGAGTCATAAACAATCATTCCTCAGGCAGCACTGTCCTTGTTTTTGACTCACTTCTGGTTACATACCTAACAATCCTGTTCTCAAGCCTGCATTTTTCTATGGATAACCTATCCTTGCCCATGAGGTAGACCTTTAGACGGTCAACGAGATTTCTATGGCTCAAAGTCAGCCTAATATATTTTATATGTCAAAAGAACACAATTACTGACTATTGCACTACTGTGGAAGAGCAGTTTAAAGGAAGATTTCTTCACACCCATCAAAATCACAGCAGAAGTTTGTGATCCTGTCCTCTGATATCTTATTGCAGGCAAATGATGATTACAGCTGGCATTTAACCCAGTCATTTTGGGTTTTCAAAATAAAACTGTATTAAGCATTAATAAACTTAACTCTATTTAACATGGTACCAGCATGCTCATTACAAAAAAAAAAAATTAAGTACTTACCATTTTGTCTGGTACCAACAGCAGCAATGATTACTGGAACCGAATTTAATGCCCTTTTAATCACTGGAATATAATTATCCTTTACTTCATGGAATGAAAACTTGTCATTTACATTGTATTTGATCACAATGATGTCAGCACCCCCAATTAGGTTTCGAGAGGTATACCAATCACTGTCAAAAATGTCCTAAACAAAAATGAAAATATCAGCTTTTAGTTTATGTATCTTCAAATCAATCATAAAACAAATTAACAGATCAGTTCTAACTACAAAGTATTAGTTGAAATGTTTACTGTATGCTAATTTGGAGAAGTTAAAAAATTAGTTTAAATGGTAACTACATGAAATAAAAATGTCTAAAGCCTGCCAATTTATTTTAAAACTTTTTTATTCATTTAGCCTAGACAACTATGCCCTGACTAAACAAGATACTTAGAGAACTAGCAGTGATTGATTAAATGAGCCAACATCTTTCAACTATGTATTCTTAAATAAGCACTTTGCTTTAAATTATGCTGTTTTTAGTCACCTAGTGATTTCAAAGATGTAGTATTATGTATCCAACACAACAGCATCAATACAAGTAACAAAGCTTCATAGTACTTTCTGCGACCCACTTAGACTTCACAGGACTTTTTTGGTGTTCTGAATTGCAATAAACTGTAACTCCTGTGGCATCCCATATATTCTATACATTTAAAAAATTCACATAAAAATTTCAATTTTCTACTGTTTTGTATTGTTTTTATATATATAATTCATACATTTAGCTCATATAGTATTGGAAATTCAGGATGAACTTTTTTGTTCTGAAATTTTTATTTATATTATAGTTGGTAATAGCATATTCAGAATTAGCATCATAAGCAATTTATTATGGATCCTATTCCTGAAAAACTTAGTTCTTTGTTGTTTTTTTTTAATGTTTTCAACTTTGGGAAAACAGCAGTATAAAGAAAATGTCATCTTAATTTTACTGCCAAATATGCACATGTAGTTTGCTTTTCAGATCCTAGTTAACTATTAATCATTTCTTTCATGATTAATAGCCTTTTGTATTTATTTCTGGTATGTAACAAAGCTAGATTAAGGAAATGAGACATGGGCTGGAGAGATGGCTCAGCAGTTAAGAGCAGTGGCTCCTCTTGCAGAGGACCTGGGTTTGATTCCCAACACCTGCACGGCAGCTAACTACAGTTTATAACTCCAGTTCCAAGGGCTCCCATGCCCTCTTCTGATCTCTTTAGGCATTACATGACATGAGTGCACTTAAACACATGCAGGCAATACAGTCATACACATAAATAAAAATTATAAATAAGAAAAGAAGACAGCTAGATATAACTCACAGGTCTAAAAACTGGTGGGCTGTGAAAGTTTACACTTAAAATGTGAGTCCAAAACAGGGTTAAGAGTGTTCTAATCTGGGGCTGGAGAGATGGTTTCAGCAGTTAAGAACACTGACTGTTCTTGCAGAAGACCTGGGTTCGAATTCCAGCACCCACATGGCAGCTAACAACTGTCCATAACTCCGGTTCCAAGGGATCTGAGAGTCTCTTCTGTCCTCCAACAGTCTCTTCTGTTCTCCACGAGCACTGCATGACACAGGTGCACTTACCTACATTCAGGCAATATATGAGTACACATAAAATAAAAATAAATTTTTAAAAAATTGAAAGTGTTCTAATCTGCCAGTGAAAATATATGTAAGAGCCTTTAGCTCATGATGGAAATTTCTACAGGAATGTTATACAATGACACCCTTTTGTAGAGAGAACTTCCCGCCAGGGCCTCTCCCATCTCCATACCCTCACCTGTCCATCTCTCAATAAGCTCATTCACAACCAGTTACTTTGCAGAACTTTTAGACATGAATACGTTATCAAAAAGGAATGAGCAGAGCATATTTGCAAGGAGTTCCAAAGCAGCAGAAAAAGAAGGTACCCTGAACTATCAATGACAATTTTTGAACCTGGTTTAGGTTTAGGGTGTAAGGGATACAGGGTTGGGGAGAAGTGAGGAAGGACACAGGCAAAGATGAGAAGGCTTCCCAACACAAGTCCCAAACCACAAACTTCATTCAGTTCCAACTGCATCTGCTACAGTATTCAAATTCACAGCATGCAGATACAACAGAACAACAACAGAGAGAGAAGTCAGACACTAGGGATCAAAACAAACTATAAGACAGATTACAGAGCAGCCATTTAACTGAGAGGGCAAGACAGAAATAGCTGCTTTTCACATACCAAATGATTCAACATTCCAGAGTTACTGAAGAAGTATATGGGGAAGGGCATATTTAAGAGAAAACATCACGGGGTGGGGGTGTGAGGGGGTGGTTAAAGGGTTTGAGCATCTGTGGTATTGAGGATAAAACAACTGTAAATACTTTTATTTGTAATACAATTTTATTTATTTGTAATGCAAAACCTGCACAAGAAAATATGAATGTATCTGTATCACCTCACATTTTATTTATTTATTTATTTATTTATTTATTTATTTTAGCCCAGGCTGGCCTCAAAAATCACTATGTAGTAGAGGCTAGCCTTGAACTCATAATCCTCTGTCCTCCACCTCCCAAGTGCTGAGATTACAGGTGTGAGCCACAAGACCCAGCTAACCTCACTACTCTTTTTTTTTTCACAGACCAGGAAAAAAAAATTTAGAAAAGTGAAATTAAAAATATAATGTAACTGTACAAGAGAGAGGGAGGAGAAAATAAACTATAAACTACATCTAATGAATTTGAAGCATATTTATTTTAAAAGTGCTACCTTGGAGGCTGGAGAGATGGTTTAGTGGTTAAGAGCACAGGCTTTTCTTTAAGAGAACCAGGGTTCAGTTCCCAGCACCCACATGGCAGTTAACAACCATCTGCAACTCCATTTCCCAGGATCCAAGGCTGTTTTCTGGCCTGTGCAGGCATTGCACACACATGGTACACTTGTATATATGTAGGCCAAACACTTAAGGTGCCAAGTATATTCAGTAAGGAGCCAGAGCAGGGCTAAGGAACTACAGAAAATAACCAGGGAAGAAAAGCACAACTAGCTTATTCCAACTCCAAGGCAGCAGCAACACGGTTCTTCTCAAGCTATGTCATAGAGAAAACGTTCCCTGGGTTTCTGGAAATATGAGGGAAATCAATTTGTCTTCCTCCTTATAAATCAGTTCCAGGATTTTACTAGGGCATTATATAACACAAGACTTGGAGTCACATTTGGAGAATCAGCTCCATCTTTAAAAAAAAAACAAAAACAAAAACAAAAAACACTGAATATTTATACAAGTAAAGAGTTTCACTCTACTTGGTTGACGGGCTATAAAAGTAGCATCTGCGAGCAGTGCAATGTACTGCACTGACTGAATGGGCAAACTTCCCTACTGCTTAGTGTAAGTGATATAAGACTACACTAAAGTTATAATATACACTTTGTTTAACAGCTACCACTTTTGGAAGACCTACTCCATTGCAGCCTCAACACAGTACTTTATGCCTTGGCACAGCTCTAGGACAGACAGGGAAAATAATACTGCAAGAAGGTAAAAGGTTTACCAGAAAACACACTAAGTGGCACCATGGGGATCTGAAATCAGTTCCTTTTGATGTCAAAACCTGTGCTCATGAATAACTCTACAGTGTAATTTACTATGTCTTAACACTCATCTCAACCTAGAAAACTGTACCTGGTTACAAACTGGTTGTCACCAGAGTCTAGCCATACAAAAAGAGAATTTGAATAAAAAAACATGATAGTCAATTCACACCAAAAGTCCAAACTACAAAGGCTTATTTTATATACTTGGAAGATTTTTGTTTTGCTACAGACAATACACGAGATCTTAAGTACTGCTCTTTGCTCGATTAACACAAACAAGAAAGGGTTAACAGCTCAAATTAAAGCTAGAAACAGCAATCTTAACATCCTAATTCAGCTTTATGTTCTCTACCTTTATTTCATTAATGCACAAAACAAGGTCAACAGGATGTTGAACAAGAAAGCTTTAAAAAGGCCAGAAGATCTTTCAAAATAAAAAGGCCAAAAGTAGAAGTGGTTGGTTTGCCTGCATGGGCCCAGGCCCATTAAGTTCTCCTGGCTTGCCTTGAGTATCAGTACTGTCATCACTGAAGGCTAAAGCATCTTTGTTTCCAAGTCTGTAATTTATTTTAGCACATTAACATAAATTTCCTTTAACTAGAAATTTATATGGGCAAGTAGTATTTTCTTTACATAATATGGAAATCAGCATAAGAAAATTTTCAAAGTCCATCCTATTCACTTCTGTACAAAGGTTCCCCACAGCAGATTCAGGTTTTTTTACACTGCTGCTTCAATGTAAAAATCTCACAGAACAATGTGTGCCTTTTTTAGATACTGAAGTTTCTCTCTCTTTGTAAAACTAAAATTCACTCTTTAGCTGAAACATACATAACCAGTATCAGTAAGGAATCACACTTAAAAAAATAAGATTAAGTGAAAACATTTGAATTGTTATGTTCAGTGTACTGAAAATATTTGTCTGTGACTAGAAGCTGACTCCTTTGTCCTTTTATCAAACACGAGTCAGGCTAAGATTTCTTTCATTCAACTATCATAAATATTAAGATTTTTTTCAAAGTTCTAAGTAACATCGGTGGTATTCCCGTTTTATGAATCACTGAAAACAAAAAGCTAATACATGAGTATTTGCATTATTAAAATTAAAAACACTAATTACAATTTTTTTCAGAGGCTAACAGTCTACAAATGAGTCATTTAAAATTAGTTCCCAGTCCCTGGCCTTTCTCCCTCTCCTTACTATTTCTGAATTGTCCCAGGGAAAAGTAACTTTGCCTGTGTTGAGCTATACGAGGGCTGTATTTATAGAACACGAGTATCTCCCTATCCTGCATAAGGTAGACTTGAAAACACGATTCCTAGCCAGCGGAATTTAGTGACCCAGTCCCTTGGGGTAGGCATATCCAACTGTCAGCTGTCCACCAAGGGATAACCCACCGCCCCGAAACAGGGTAACTAACTGTTCGACATTCCCACTGGGGCTTTTTATCTTACAGGCGTGTTTTCTGACTGGGCTACCCCACCACCCTCACCCAGTGAAACAAAGGACCAGATTTTCCAAAAAGGTTTAAAACTCTCCCCAGGTACGATGGAGCACTTCCTTAGGAAGAACGAGGAGGAGGGCTACTGAAGCCCAGCTCCCTTAGCCGGGGCACCGGGCAGCCGCTGTCCCTTACCCAGACGGGACAGTCGTGCACCACGAGCTTGACGTTGCCGAACGCACTGGCCTGATACTCGGTGAACACCGGGCGCGCGACCGCGCTGGCCGCGTTCAGCAACAAGCTGCTTTCGTCCCCCGAGACCAGAGGGCTCCTCCCCAGGTAGGTGCGGATGAGCCCCGACGGCCGGTGGTCCTGGTGGAACGCGTCGCCCTCGTTCCCCAGCGCCACGATGTGGATGGACCTGCAGGGCCGAGAGGGGCGAGGGGCAGAGGGGCGCGGTGAGCACGGGTGCCGAGCGCCGCAGCCGGGCGGGGTGGGCGCAGCCGAGTGGAGGGGTGGGCGCAGCCCGGACGCCGGGTAAGCGTCCCGGACCCAGAGCGCGGCGGGACAGCGACGCGTACGTACATGATCGCGGGTCGGCGCGGCGCGGACACTCGCAGACAGACACCGGGCGGCGGCCTCGCGGAGCCCGGGCGGCGCGCTCACCGCAGTCCGCTCATCCCGGCCGCGGCCCC